AACAATGGGCAGGGTGTTCTGTGGGTGTTTAGTTAGTGTGTATGTATGAGTATGTGTGTCAAATATGTTGTTTTTCAAAGGTTTGAATGGAGGTCTAAATAGTTCAAGAGCAGGAAACAGAGCAGTAGTGAGAATTCATCATTCCAACTACCCGTCCATCCATCCATCCACTCATCCATCCACTTCCTGTGCAGGGCTGAGAAGTGAAGATAATACTAGTAAGCTTGAAACAAAAAAAATGAAGAATACTGGATGGAATGTGATGGAAAAATCCACCCAAAAAACAGTCTGAGTGGGTTTCCATGTCCTGGCAGGATTTACTCCTGCAGTGGCCAACATGTGCAACATCCTGAGCAAAATTATTCATCAGAAGAAACATGGACCAAATGATAAGAGGAATCAAAATCAAAATAAACACACGAAAAGAACATGCAGCATAATTCAAGTTAAAATTTAAAAACAATTGCAGAAGTCTAAAAAAATGCTACAGTGGAAACCTGCAAGAAATGATATGAAGTGACTGCAAATGTACCAGGCAGCCTGTCACAGAGACTATTGCCGGAGCATACAATTGATCTGCAGGGCCAAAACAGTGCACTGATCTCTGCCAGTGGTGAAGCTGTAATACTGAGGAGTCTACCAACAAACTGATCCAAATCAATAGTCATCAACACCAACAGCTGAGGAGAAACTAATTCAAGCCTGGTGACCTTTTCAAGTGTCATGAGCTGACCATGACAGGGTTCCTGTAGTTTTTTTTAGCAGTCATTGTGTTATGTCCTGAACACATCATCAGTGATGGATTTGAGATCATGTCATGTTTTATGTCATATCTCTCCTTATCTGTTCTACCCAGCAGAGGGTGGCCAGGCCCTGACTGTTTAGTTGTAGCACACCCTGCCATGTCAGCCCTCTTTAAGACTTTCAGAAGCCTCCAGGATGTTCTTGATTGCTCTTCTTAGCAGATGCCCAGGGGGCCCAAGTCTGTGAAGCCCCCTGTAACAAGGGCTATCCGGCCTGGTTTGTTGGCTCTTTTTCATTCATTGGCCTTCTCCAAGTGGGCTTCCCGAGACACAGTCAGTTTGATCAAGACCACTTGTTCAGGACCCCCTTTTTGAACTGAATATGGCAGTCTCTTTCAGAGGAAGTGCAACTTGATTTAAAGCAAATGTTGTGCACATGGGGCACATCAGAAACTATATCAGTGGTCACTTTCACAGAGAGCATGACTGCTGGAAGATAACTTTTAGCAACCTTGTAAACAGTTGCACAGTAAAAAGTGCTCTGAAAGTGAGTGGACACAGACCCTGAAGCATTCCTGAAGTTATTTCCATCCTTCAAGAATCAAACGATCAAGTTTGTATGTGTGAAAGTTCTTCTGGTACCAGTATGCTGACTCATCCATTGGCTGGTGAAGGCAGATTGTGTCTAAAAGAGTGTTGATATTCATTTTTCATCTCACTGATATAAAGCAGCCCGTAAGTGTACAGATTTTCAGCTGTCTTGTGAGTTAATGTTACATCCATACAGGCTTATTTCTCAATACCTGATAATGCTTTTCAGAGATTTCAGCTTCATTTCTGATGCTCATACATCCAGTGTTTAAAAAAGAAATACTGAGAGATATTCAACATTTCTGAAAAGTCCCAGTCATTGTTCTCATCCTGTTCACCTCAGTGCAACCAAACAGAAAAAGCTCAGACCTGCTGCTATTTCAGTGACCATTTCTCTCTCAGTCATTTCCTGTAGGAGGATTTTCCCTCCCAGTGACCATGTAAAAACAAAAATAAGAGTCTGGTTAGGAGAACCAGAGCACAGTCACACTCTAAATGTTACACAATAGATGCATGATGTAGAGACAGAGATAACTCCCTTTGTATGGACCCAAAGAGTGTGACTAAACGTTCATCAAGAAGCCTGACAAGTCTGTAATTTTTTTTTTTCACAGTAATGCTAACAAACATATTCCGCAGTATAACGATATGCAAAACACACACACACACACACACACACACACACACACACACACACACACAACTTTTGGCACATACACACACAAACACACTCACAAACACGCACGCACGCACGCACGCACGCACGCACACACACACGGAAAGGCTGGAGGGAAGGCATGATAGCTCAGAGATAAGCCTCTTTTGTTAGCTGGCTGACACTTAGACCCCATTAATTGGACTAAGCTCAAGGAAGCAGGTCAGAGACCAACCAGTGGTGTGTGTGTCTTGGTATTTGTGTTTAATTGTGATAAAACACCACAAAGTGTGAGCCAAAATAATGTTCTTACTATCTTCTGATTTTCAATGAGATTTCTGAAGGAAATCCAAAATTTGGGTCAGCTTTGTTTTGAAGTCTGGTTTACTAAAATAATAAAGTGATCAGATCCCAAAGTTTGGCAGTTTCTCTGCTAGATCATTACTGTTTACCACAAAAGAGTGGGCTGTGTTGGCCACAGTTTTATGTGTTGTGTTATTTATGGTCAATCATCTCCCCACTAAAATACTTTGTGTCTGAAAACACTTCAGGAAAGAATGAAAAAAAGTCCCTTTTCTCAGACACCAGAGCGATGAATTCTCTTTGTTCGGGGGGTTTGTCAAAGCTGTGAGTACAAAAATACAAAAATACACAATATTTCCTGCTTAGACCAACACTTTATAACAGAACAGCACCACACTGGCAGCAAGGCATCCTTGTATATATTACACCCAAACACAACAAAAGTCTCTCTGTGCTACAAACAACCACGATGACTAACAGACTCAAAGGCTGATCATGGTTAGTGACACAGTTATACTGTCTAGAAAAGGATAAACGTTCTGACAGAGGGGATGCAGGGGGGAATAAAGACTGTTTAAAGCTGGTCTGTTCACATTGGGCGACTCGGTACTGTCTACCTGAGGGTATGGGCTTGTACTTAGAGGTGAGGGTGTGTGATACAAATGAAAAAAATTGCACATTTTTAAGTGTTTTTTTTCCCATTATTGTCATCACCATGGGGCAGGCATGACATGATTGCAAACAGGTCACCTGTTCTGCAGGTAAACTCCATGTTTTTCACTGTATAGTTGGGTGGCTTTGGGGAGAGCAATCGATCAGCTGTTTTTGATCATGTCAGCTGTCCTTCTATAAAGAGAACAGGCTTTTTCTTCAAAACAGAGCTGATGGGCATTTGGAAAAAACACAGCAACACTTTGAGAGGGTCTGCTTGGGTTGGGAACATTTTGGCACAAGCACAAAAATAATGAAGTAATGTGTGCAAGGATTTAAAAAAGTCAAGAATCTGCCAGAACATAGGGGTGAAATGCCATGATTTATTGGTGACTGCTGCATCTGCTCTGTTATGTAAGAGGAATACAAAAGTGAGAGTTCTTAAGATGTATTGGTATGAACAAGTTTATTGTTAAATAAACAAAAATCCTGGATATAATTTTGGACTTTTTTTTACAAACACCAAGCATCTCAGTTATCCTCTCTCTGGAAGTTAACCTCCTGTTTTTCCCTCGGTGGCCTTCAGACTCTGACTTACATAAACAACAAATCTTTGGCTCTACACTGACCTTTTAGTTAGGCAATTAATTCACACACACACACACACACACACACACACACACACACACACACACACACACACACACACACACACACACACAGAAAAAGACTGGCTCACTGTCTCTCACAGTGAACAACCTTGACCCACTATTTGTGGGGGGTCGAAGCTCTTCTGATCTTGTTTGAACTTTGTCTGTGTGTGTGTGTGTGTGTGTGTGTGTGTGTGTGTGTGTGTGTGTGTGTGTGTGTGTGTGTGTGTGTGTGTATTTGTTTGTGTGTGTGTGTGTGTTGGTGTGTTTCCTAAGTGGAATGCGACGGCTGTGGAATTTAAACTGATATGAAAATAATTGTCAGGCTTTGGCTGGTTTGTACTGAGTGGTGTGTTTCCACAGAGTCAGATACAAAACACAGTGTGTTTCAGTGTTTGTTAACATCTGTTCACAGGAATATTTCCTCTCAGCCCACTCTTAACTTGCAGTTAAAGCTCTTATTTTGACGGTCAGTGTGTTTGTGACACCTTGCTGTGTGTGTGTCTGTCAGTAAGGGTCTCTATGTGTGTGTGTGTGTGTGTGTGTGTGTGTGCTATTTAGTGGAGACACGTAAATCCCAGATTAGCTGTCTAACATAAACTTCTGTCAACTGACCAATCAACACAAAATGCCAGGCAGAAAACAGGGGGCGCTTAGTGTGTGTGTGTGTGTGTGTGTGTGTGTGTGTGTGTGTGTGTGTGTGTGAGAGAGAGAGAGAGAGAGAGAGAGAGAGAGAGAGAGAGAGAGAGAACCTGAGTCCTGCTTTGAAACAGTAATAACATTTCAAGGTGTGACCCCGAGACTGTTTGAATGGTGGAAGTTGAAATGCTTTAGATGCAGCAGTATTTGCTTTTGTTAGCCTGTATGCAGGAAAGCTAGCTGCTGTGGCTAACTCTAATGTTGGTAGAAAGAGCTAACAATCACTCGCTCACCTGGTATATGGTAAACTAGCTGAGTTTTGTTTTCCTCAGATTGGGAAATTATACTTTTTAATAAGACAGCATGTAACCGTGAGTTTTATGTAAAGGTGTAATGTTGACTTTAGTATCATTGAAAGTCTTCTCACCTCAGAATCAAACATGGTCGAAATCTTTAGGTAGTCTGCTCATAAATTTTCAGAGAATTGGAACAATATGAGCAAACACCAGTGTCTGTTTGTGGGCGGGGCTTGCTGGAGCAGAGAGGGAGGGGAGAGGAGGTGCTAAGAGGGAAAACTGGTGGGGAGGGGTAGTGTTTACATTCAAAATTTCTGCCCAAAACTGGCACTGAGCCTGAGGTCCAGCAAACCAAAACCCGGCCATCATCCGCAGCGTCCCGGCGCAAAATGTTGCGGGAAGCTGTTCATCGCTGCTCCGCCGGATCCATCCCCAGAGCTGCGTCCCACAAAGACAGCTTCCTGCAACGCAGATGGAGGTCGCCTCGCCGCTGCGTCTATGTCATGCTACCTCCACATCTCCACTCAGTGGCACTGAACCACTCAGCGGTGCCGAGCCACCAGAGTGGCGGGAACTGGCTGTGTCTGGCCGGCGTGTTCCCGGCCCCACCACGGCTCAGTCTCGGGTTGGAAGCCCCCCACGCCACAACTACTCCCGTAAATCTAACTCATCCTGTCCACTGATCGCCCCCACGACAGTCATCATTGGAGACTCCATCACCAGTGGCATTCATTTCTTTAACGCCACCACACTATCCTTCCATGGTGCCACAGCTGCCGACATTGCTCATAAGATCCCCTCTCTCCTCCGTTCACTTCCCTCCTCCATTAGCCGCATCATTGTGCAAGACGGCTGTAACGTCACAGCGCATCAGCAGTCAGAACAGACAAAATGTGATTTTAAAAGGCTTCTTAACACCCTAAAAGACTGTGGCAAGTTGTTTTTTATTAGTGGGCCGCTCCCGACGGTGACACAGAACTGCAAGCATTTTAGTAGACTCCTTAGCCTGAACAGCTGGACCGACATGCTTTCCAACACCCAAAAGGTTCATTTTATTGACAATTTTAACAGTTTCTGGAACCGGCCTGATTATTTTAACAGTGATGGCATCCACCTGAACAGGTCTGGCAGATCCATTTTAGTTTCCAACATCCAGTACAGTGTCCACACAAGCGTCCAGATCGACTGACTAGTGTTTACATCCACTTCTTCTTCGTGCTCCTCCTCTGACACCGTTCCCAATCACAGCGACCCCCAGCATCGCCCCCTGGAACTGCTCTCTGCACACCGACCACACTGACCACCCCGTCCCTCTGGCTCCCCCTATCCACCACTCAAGCCACTGCAACTGGAAACAACAAGTTTTAAAATCCCCACCATTATCAGCCACAGGCCCCCCTGCCACCCCGCTCTAAGGAATAGCCATCATGCCAACCTCCGCACACTACCCTGGTCCTCACAGGAATCATCAGTGAAACCGCCCCACCCACATCACCTGAACCTTGCCCTGTTTAACACCCGATCATTTACCAGCAAAGGCCTGATCCTGCAAGAATTCATCATGGACAATAAACTGGACTTTCTTTCTTTAACAGAAACATGGCACAAACCCCTGGATTACTTTTCCCTCAATCCGGCCACCCCCACAGGATACACCTACATTGATAAACCCCGCCCAGAAGGCAGAGGTGGCGGCATTGCAACAATTCACAAAAAGGATCTCAAAATCACTACACTTTCCATACCAGCCGTCTCCTCCTTTGAACATGTTGCCTCAAACTCCTTGGTTTCCCCCCTCTCATCATTGCTATTATCTACTGCCCACCTAAACCAAACCCAGACTTTCTGACTGACCTCTCTGACCTCCTCACCCAGCTCTGTGCCCTCTCCCCATCTGTTCTCCTCCTCAGTGACTTCAACATCCACATTGACAATGCCAGCTGCAGTCTAGCCTGTGAATTTCTGGACATCCTACAATGCTTCAGCTTCACCCAACACTGCCACTTCCCCACCCATAACCATGGCCACATCCTGGACCTTATCTGTTCGACCGGCCTGAAAACATCCCCTCCTCCTGCCATGATCTCCATATCTCTGATCACTTACTTATCAAAACAGTTATAACCCTCCCTGACCCACCCACCAGACTGAAACGAACCATCAACTTCCGGTACCTCAAATCTATCAGCCCATCTGCCTTCACCACCACTCTCTCTCTCTCAACCTCACTGCATCACCTCCACAATCGTCCGATAACCCCTCTGATCTTGTCACCTACTACAACCAGACCCTCTCCTCCTGTCTGAACCATAGACTGTATATAGAATGGACAGTGTCTGCCTCCTCACTGGGTGAAGCCACTCCGAGAACAGCGCCCTCTGTTGATGGGCTGCAGTATAGGCCATAAATCCCTCCTCCGCCAGCAAAGCTTATGGGGCTGTTGACAAACTTTAGAACAAAAATTTTTCTCCCCCCTGCTTGTGATGTTGACATGTAGTTATTGTAACACTGGTTTGTGCTCAAGTCCTCTTTTTTCTGTGAAGCTCCGTTTTTAAAAGTTATTAGGGGGTTCATGTTTTCTATTATTGACACCTAATACAGCCTATGGGCGTTCAGGAATTGCGTAACTCACCCGGGGGGATACGCTGTTTGAGCTGAGCGTCATCACAGTGACTCTCGGCGACTGCGCGGCTGAATGCGCGCATCGCTACTGCGCAGCGCTGGTTTCAGGAAATGAAGAAAAATCCCGGAAATATCGAGAGCTATTTGGCTTCAAATCCGTATACAGGCGGTAGGCGGAACCAAGTTGTCCATAGTTTATACAGTCTATCGTCTGAACCTACTTGCCCCTGTGAAAAGCAAATCCATCACATTCGCCTTCTCTGCTCCTTGGTACACCCCAGCACAGTTGAAAAAAAAAAAAACACCAACTTGAAAGACTCTACAGGAAAACCGGACTCACAATCCACCTCCATCAGTACAAAGCCACCCTCAACTCCGCCCGCTCAGCATACTACTCCAACATCATTCACTCTGGCTCCAGCAACCCCAGGACTCTGTTCTCCACCATCAGCTCACTTCTGGCGCCACATGACAACAGCACCGCAACCTTCATACCCGACAAAGGCCAGACCTTCCTCCAGTTCGTCCAGTCCAAAATAGACAACATCTACAGCAGCCTCCAGTCCGCAACTTCCACCCCCACTCCCCACCCCATGTCCCCCTCTTGCTCCCCCCACATCTCTGCTCAGCCCCTATCCCAGTTTTCCCCCATCTCTCATGCTCAACTCTCCCAGTTAATAACCAGCATGAAGACTCCCACCTGCATCCTGGACCCCATGCCCTCCGCACTTGTTAAGACCTGCCTTCCAGTCCTCTCTTCACTAATCCTCTCCATGGTCAACTCCTCCCTCCACACCGAATCAGTCCCTGACTCCCTCAAACTGGCTGCCATCACCCCAACCCTCAAAAAACCCGGACTCGACCCTGATATCATTTCGAACTTCCGCCCAATTTCCAACCTTGCTCTGCTTTCTAAAATGTTAGAACGTGCCGTCTCCTCTCAACTTCGGACCCACCTCAACTCTAACAGCCTCTTTGACGTCTTCCAATCCAGTTTCCGTCCCAAACATAGCACAGAAACAGCCCTCCTCAAGATCAATCAATCAATCAATCAACTTTATTTCTATAGCACATTTTAAAAATTACCACAAGGGTAGTCAAAGTGCTGTACAATGATACATAAAACAAATAACACAAAGAGCAAGATAAAGTGAGCAGAAATACATTAATGCAGGGGATAAATAAGTAAAATAAATAAGCAGGCTCACGGCAGGTGCTAAAATGATAAAAAACAAAGTAACACTAAAAAAAAAAAGTATCAAAAGCCAAGGAGTAAAAGTGTGTTTTTAAAAGGGATTTAAAAACAGGAAATGAGGAGGCCTGTCAAATATTCAAGGGCAACTCGTTCCAGAGCTTCGGGGCAGCAGCAGCAAACGCTCTGTCCCCTCTGAGCTTCAGCCTTGTATATGGGACCGTCAGTAGCAGCTGATCGGCTGATCTTAAGGGTCGGGGTGGGCAGTAAGGCTGGAGCATTTCAGAAATGTAAGGTGGAGCAAGATTGTTCAGGCTTTTAAAAACAAATATTAAAAGCTTAAAATGAATTCTGTACTGTACAGGGAGCCAGTGTAAGGATGCTAGGATGGGGGTGATGTGCTCACGCCTGCGGGTCTGGGTGAGGAGACGTGCAGCAGAGTTCTGCACAAGCTGCAGGCGGGCAAGGGAAGCCTGGCTAATCCCTACATACAGAGAGTTACAGTAGTCAAGACGGGTAGTTATAAAAGCATGGATTAATTTTTCCAGGTCAGGTCTTGATAAAATAGGCTTCACCTTGGCTATTTGACGTAGCTGATAAAAACTTTTTTGTACCACCCCGCTGATCTGTTTCTCAAATTTAAAATCAGGGTCAAACTTAACTCCCAGGTTAGTGACGACCTCTTTAAGGTAGGGTGAGAGGGAGCCTAGGTTGATGTTGGGGGGGTGGCCTCCACTTGGTCCAAACATCATTACCTCGGTCTTGTTCTCATTTAGACTGAGAAAGTTAAAAGAAAGCCAGGCTTTAATGTCCTTAAGACAGTTGGTGAGTTGCTGGACTGAGTTGGAGTTGTTCTGTGCAAGTGGAACATAGATCTGACAATCATCAGCGTAAAAATGAAAGGAGATGCCATGTTTCCTAAAAACAGAACCAAGGGGGAGTAAATAAAAGGCAAACAAAAGAGGGCCAAGGATTGAGCCTTGGGGGACCCCATGTGGGAGGGGAGCTGTTGACGACACAGAGTTGTCAAGTTTAACGCAGAAACTTCTGTCCCTTAAATAAGACCAGAACCAGTCCAGGGCAACACCCTTAATGCCCACACAGTGCTCCAGGCGAGAGATTAAAATGCTGTGGTCAACAGTGTCAAATGCAGCAGACAGATCTAAGAGCACAAGGACAACAAACTTTCCAGAGTCTGTTGTCATTAGAATATCGTTTGAAACCTTTAAAAGTGCTGACTCTGTGCTGTGGAGAGCTTTAAAACCAGACTGGAACAACTCTGTGATACCATTATCTTCCAAAAATGGTAACAATTGATTGTAGACCACCTTCTCTAAAATCTTGGACAGATATGGAAGATTTGAGATGGGTCTGAAACTGGCACAGAGGGATGGGTCAAGGCCGTTTTTTTTAAGTAGAGGCCGTACTACAGCATGTTTAAAATCCTTAGGTACTGTACCAGAGGAGAGGCTACTGTTAACAATATTAAGGACACTTGGTCCAATAGTAGCAAGTACCTCTTTAAACAAGCGAGGGGGGATGGCATCAGCAGGGGAACCAGAAGGCTTCATATGGCCGACTATGTCCTTTAAAATAGAGAGGGACACAGACTCAAATTTGGCAAAGACAGATGTGGGGTGCAGAGGGGCAGAAGGGTCATATGAAGGTTGAGAGATACAGGCTCTGGTTGACATAATTTTATCAGTGAAGAAGTGGAGGAATTTTTCACAGATTTCAGTGGAGGAATCAAAACCAAGAGACTTGGGAGCCTCAAGGACAGTGTTTATGGTTTTGAACAGAGCTCTGGGGTTGTTACAGTTAAAAGCAATTAATTCTGAGAAGTATTTATTCTTCTCGGCTTTTACAATCCTCTGATAATTCCTCAGACTATCTTTAAGGATGCCAAGAGACACGTGCAGTCTGTCATTTTTCCACCTGCGCTCCGCCCTCCTGCACTCACGCCTGGCTGCACGAGTGACGTCGTTCAACCAGGGCTCGGGTGTAGGTTTGGTGCGCCGGGTCTTCAGAGGAGCGATCGTGTCCAGTGTTTGTAGACAGGTGGAGTGAAATCTCAGTACCAGTTCCTCAGTATCCAAACACACAGGGGCTGCAGAGTCATCCTCGCAGAGACCAACGTAGGTGGAAGAGAACAGAGCAGGCGAGGAAGAGTTAAACATGCGACGCGGTTTAGGTGGAGCGCGCAGTTTAACCGGACACTGAGTGGGGATGTCAAATAAAATCGGCATATGGTCCGAGAAAACAGCGTCACAAATGACAAGGTTAGACACACACAGACCATGCGAGAGCACCAGGTCTAGTGTGTGCCCGAGATTATGTGTAGAACCGGACACAGACTGCACGAAGTTAAAAGAGTC